ACTAGAATATTGTTGCTGTGCAAATTTTTTGAGTTTTTCTAATTTTTGTACAAAGTAAGAAATTTGTGTTTACATGGCTTTTGTTAGACATATAATTTTGACAAGGGGTATACAACGGTATACATAATATCAGGAATTCCTTTACCTTATTGGAAAACTGTTTTACTGTACTGTAAAAAATGCTTTTATTTGTAAATGATTTTAATATGAGCGTACATAAAATATGATGAATAAAACAGAATGAAGATCCTGCGAAACGGGATTTTTCCCCAGTAATACAGTTTTTTGTCCGAAAAAAGATACGAGCGTTAAGCATGCCGCACTGCGCTGCAGCAGAACTGCACGATACGACACTGTACAGCCAAAGTTGACTAAATAGCAAAAATTTCGTGCAGTGTCAGATAGTTCCGTTGCAGTGAGGTTTGTCCGAAAAATGTTCATACTTTCGAATGTATGCATTTCTTTAAAAGCAATTAATTGCTGAATGCACATATGTATGTATGTTGAAGGAAACAATAAATAAAATGCTAGTACTAAAATGTGAAACCAATATGTCTACAAAATCAGTTATGCTGGGGACTGAAACTTGAAACAGATGCGAAAATTGTAAATACCCTACTTAAGGCGACAAGTAGTAGTAGTAGGTTTTAGAAGAGGGGGCGTTGCACCTCCCGTACAAACTGATATTTTAGTTTCGCTTCTCCCTGGAACCCCTTACACTATGTTTCTGAAATTTGTCAAAGCGTCATACATATGTTACTAACACCGTACTTACAGCGAAACGGGGAAGGTAGCGCTTGTCTGTGGAACCCCTTACGCTAACATCTGGAAATTTGACACACCTACATACATACATATGTACATACATATATGTACTATATTACACCGTGCGACAGTAAATTTTAAGGGTGGCAAATTCTGAATGGCCTAGGGGTGACAAATATTAAAATCCGCCACTGCACACACACATAAGTTTAGAATACCAAATTGGCACTTGGCTCAGCATGAAACACGGAATAGTCGATCACTATCTGACCCAAGTCATCAGTGGACATACCTTTATCGCTTCGGACATGCGCAAAACCCTTATTGCGAGCACTGTGACCGACGGTCATTGAAGACGCCGAGCATGCATTTTTCAAATGCCCCCGCTTCGACTCCATGAGATCCGTACTTAATACCAAACGTGGCTCCTGTATAACACCAGAAAATATGGTACCGATAGTGTTAACGAGCGAGGAAGCATGGAACGATGTCTGCCATTTCTCTGCCGAAATGATTAAAGTCCTTCGACGCAACCTAAATTAGCAGCCGCTACAGTCTTGGCGCAACAAGCCCGTTTTCTTGAGAAGTAACGGCGTTAAGTGTACGAGCCTCTAAAAATCGAATAAGCGATATTAAATTACTATATGCGGTCTATACTTTACTTAGATACGAACTTCCTAATAGGACAATCTAAATGGGTGGGTTGGTTTAACACCAGATCGACTTTAACAGCGGGTGGTATCATGTGAACAGTAACGGACGTAGAGTTTAGTGCTCAAACCGCCTCCCGACGAAATACTTGACGGTGGTACCGGGGGGATCGGTACGTAGACGGTAGGAGGTTTAGTGGGTTAAAGTCTCACACTGACAGGATTGGGGATAAGGCTTTCGATGCTTCCTCCTCTGAACAAAAAAAATAAAAATAATTAAATAAATAAAAAAAATACCAAGCGTTTAGCTAAAAAAAAAATAAGAGATGAGGGTCGATAGAACTTTTTACGCTGATTTCAACCATGCCAATTATTTGGTGCAATTAAAAACCAAAGAGGTTAAATTCCAACTTTTTTATTTCTTATGCGTTTTATATCTCGGGAACTACTTATCCGATTAAAAAATTATTGATGCTAATTTCAACATAATTTTTATATATAAAAGCCATTTAAAAATAATATATAATATTTTGTGTTTTATAGTATTTCCGGACTAAAAATATAAAAAACATTTAAATTATACACATGCATGAAAGACAAATTAATTATTTTTATTTTTACGTCATTAGTTTTTTAATAGGTTATGTTGTTCAGAAGATATTTACGTTTAAAAAAATCTAAAAATGTAACTTTAACCATTGCTATCTTCTCTATTTTTTACTTCCGCAAGATAATTTTTGTAGGGTTGAAATCATCACAAAAAGTTTAATCGAGCCATATTTTTGGTTTTTGCGTAGCTAAATTGTTGATATTATATAAGTATAAGTGCACGGAACGACCTCAGACTATTTCTTATTAAATCCTGAGTACGGGAACAGACTAACTGTCGGCAAGCTGGTTGCAGGTTTGGATTATCAAAGACACAAACCAAATTCGGTAAAAAAGGGTTGCATTCGCATAAACTCCAAATAAAATTGGTGTTTAAGGAGAGTTTAACGAAATTTTTTGTATGGTAAACTCCAAAACGGCCCATAAACTTCGACTGCATCACTCCCCATACAAAAAAAAAATCGGTACTGTTTTTTCCATTGGAATTATAAAATCTATTATATTTTAAGACTTGCTCGAAAATAATCAAAAAGACTTGAAATATAATAAATTTTGTAACCCCGGCGGAAAAACCGCAGTCTAATGTACATACATACAAACGTATGTATATCCCTTTCCGGTCAAATCCGTCCCTGATGAATATAAAAATGTTTCCTCTTAATTACATGGTTCATAGATCCTCATAATACCAAAAGTAGAAAAAAATTAGCAAAAGTTGTTTTGGGTAGCTATTAGGGCTACCTGAAATTTGTTCAATATATTGTACAAAAGTCCGCAAAGGAGTAAAAGCACTCAAGAAAACTCAATAAATATTTAACTAAGTTTGACGGAATAAAACTTTTATTTCATTGAAAATGAGCTTATGTATGCACAAAATAATTGATTTCACTGCAGATATGTTGGAATGAATATTTTATATCTGTTTAAGTATCCTTAGTTAAGATTTGCATCAAAAAATTTTAACACCCCTATTCTGCAACTCTTTCGTATTCGGATTTTGCTACGAATCGTAGAAATAGTATGCTGCAATCCGAATCGTATTTTCGAACTTTCGAAATTCGTAACAATGGCATGCCTAAAAACGAACGAGTAAGCTTTTTTGCGTAATTTTGTACGAAAACAATTCTGTGTCGGGGGCGAAATAAAAGATGTAAATCGATGTGTGTTTGCAAGAAATATTGGTGGTGTTCATTTAAACAGATAAATTTACCTTTCGCATATACGTATATGTATTTTTAACCACTGCTTTATATAAACGAGCAAAAATGAATATTTGTTGCCCCTTATCGAGAAACTTAGGTCCGGTTTAGTTAATGTACAACGATTTTCGGTTGTTGTGTCCAAACGCATAACCCGAATCCAAAAACTTTAACATACACGTGTAACCAAAGGATTCACATTTTATTTAAGATAAATGTTTCAAATTTCCTACCACTAACTTATTAATAAACTCGGTTTACACTATGCACTTTTAGCCGGAGTGATATGCACAAGAAATGTTGTATACCTTTGACATGCGGAAGCCCCTCTTTCCCGCAACGCAGAAAGGAGAATTTTACTTAGTAAGGGTTATAATCCCTAAACGCGGCCGAAGGCAGAAGCAAGCGCAACAGGTGGTGGCCCTAACAAAGTGCATGTTTTTAATGGCTTGAAAGAAGCTGTTATTGCATTAAATGGATTGAGAACCAGAGCTTCGGGCATAGGAGGACTTCTGGCTTTTGGTTTAACATTTCAACCAGAAGCTGACATAGATGCGCCCATGGTTACTATGCCCGACAGCTCCGCATACCTTTGGGAATCCATTGTCATAGCGCCCGCTACTCTGCTGCTATAATTGCAAATACATCAGAATCCATAATTTTCCTCAAAATATGTAAAATTAACCAATTTTACAACAAACAAGCACATGATGAGTGTTTTTTTAATTCCTTTCCACTTTGTTTTCCTGGTAGCTGGCAATGCTGCACATGTTTCCGCAAGGGTTGCAGCATGTGGATTTTTCGTTTTTCTTTTGAGCCATTTTCAATGCTGCAAGACATTGCCTGGTTTAGGAATATAAAAATTTAACTTTGAGCTACTTAACTCTCTAAGTGACTCTCAGACATATACATTAGACTGACCCAATTTTGCACAATGTCGTTATTTTTTTAGGCTAATATCTAAAAACTTTCGAATACTTGTAAAAACTCACCTGATCAAGTCTGGTTGCGAAATTCAAATATTAACCCGATGCGAGTCTCCGTTTTGTAAAATTTTTGGGCTACTAATATTTTAGAGCGTGTTCAAGGAGATGCCAAGGGTAGATTTTATTGAAAATTGACGCGCTCATAGGCTAAATATGTATTTTCGAGGTCGCTGAATACGATGGCACCATTTAATTTTCTCCAGCATCAAAAATTCTTGAGAAATTCAAGAAAGTCTGAGGTAAAAGAAGGAAAAATGTAAACTTTTTACTTTTAATGCCTAATTGTTGTTGGTTAGAATTTGTTTTTATCAACAAAAGCTACTCAAATTTGTAAGTCATTCAAAGAGTTTTAAAATGAAAAAATGGGTATGATTTGGTTGAATCAGTGTCAAGAAACGAGCAAATTTCTAAAACGGTACAAATCCGACAAATATCAGTATTTCGGGTTAAATGACTCATGAAACCGACTCTGGGGATGAGTTTCAAGTTTCTATGCTTGGAAATCATCACAAGGTGTATATTAGGTCAGGACAATTTTCCACAAAATCTACCCTTGACATCTCTCTAAAATATCAGTAGCCAAAAATTGTACAAAACGGAGACTCGCATCGGGTTAGTATTTGAATTTAGCAACCAGACTTGATCGAAAGTTTTTAGCTATTAGCCTCAAAAAAATAACGAAATTGTGCAAAATTGGGTCTGTCTAATATGTACGTACATATGTATTTATGTATATACATACGGTTCTATATTTATATATCTAACCAATTTTATGTTTTTGGTTTTTGCAGATAACAGCCGAGTAATGGATACCAGTGAACATGAATTGAGTGACATTAGTAAGTAGTACACTGAGGGAAATAATTAATAGTAAAAATTAATACTTTATATTCAGTTATCGTTAAAAATGTTCGTAGTTAAAAATAATAAGTAATAATAATAGTTTCAGGTAGATTCTGCCCCGCCCGACTTCAAATATAGTTGTATATCAGCGTTTAATTACACAATTTGATAATTCTTGAGTTGATACTTTTTTCTTTGTTTCGGTAGTACAGAGTAAGACTTAAGCTGATGCCAGATAAAACTTTTTGGCTTTGCGTGACATTTATAACTTTTCCAGGAGAGCGCAAGACGCACAAGGTATGCCACAATGAACGCCAAGGAAACAATTTTGTACTGCTTTTTTACTCGTGAAAATTGCGGTGCATTTCACATACATATATATTTAGTTTTAAAAATATCAGCAGTGTAATTAAATTTTGTGTTTCTGCATGAATACTCAAATAGCGGCGACACAAAATAAACACTAAACCAGCTGATGGTCAACGCGCGCAAAAAGATGAGAGTTGGCCATATTTTCGCTTCGCGCTGCAGCTGAAACGATGTACATATGTGGTATTCTTTGTGCATTTTCAAACATTTCCCCTGGCATTCAAAAAGCGGTCTCTAGTCACTAACTTTTGTGACTTTTGGTGGTGAATTTGGATTTCAGTACGTACGTTGGTATTCAGTACGCTGTCTCACGTCTCTAGTCTCAAAAAAAGTCACTAATTTGTCAGCTGGTTAAGAGCAGATCACAAAAATATAAATATCGAGGAAAAGTTATTTGCTTTCCATTTTATTAAAAAAAAAACGCGAAAGTGAAGCGAGAAAAATTAGTTTAACAACAATTTCGTTAGAAAATAATCCAAAATGCTTTAATATCACACAAATCCATTGAAAAAAATTATTTTTTTGTTTTTAAAACATTAAAATCTAAAGATTATTAAAAAATAAAACTAACAAAAAAATACTAGAAAAAATAAAAAATCCTCTACGCCCAAGGAGGACTTGATTCCGGACCCTCTCGACCGGCAGCCTAATACTTTGACCACTCAGCCATTACGGCTCTTTGGGTGACGCGGCAAAAGGCATACATAAACGCTACCATTTAACTGTCTGTGTTTGTTTTCAACACACATTTTTGGTGAACTTTTTGTGACTCTGTCCTACCGAATACCCAAATCATCTAAAGTCACAAAAATAGTCACTAATTGCTAATCTCAAATTTAGCGACTGGAGATGAGACTGAATTACTGAATCCCAGGGTTCATCTTATCTGTCAAGCAAAGCGAAGCAAGCGTTTTATCTGGCATCAGCCTTAGGTCTTTTAAGAGTAGTTCAACTACATATGTATATATAGGGTTGCCAGATTTTGAAACGGAGAAAGGAGTACATTTATATTTTCGATAGAAAAAAAGCAGTACATGACATAAAAAAGGAGTTCATTTTTTTTTTTTTTATTTTTTGTGCAATTTATTGTTACAAATTACCATTGATTAGGTACAAACAAACAAAGATATCTTAGGCAAAGAACATAGTGACGCGACAAAAAGAAAGACAAGACATTTTTGGATAATAGCGACAAAAACAAACCTTTATTTTTAAATGTAGCAGCACATAGTGAAACGAAAAGCGAATAAAGCGACAAAGAGCATAGCGACGAAAACAAAAAAATTTGTTTTCGTTGCTTTCTGAGCAGACTGTTGCTTCACTATGTTTTACGTTTCTTGTCTCTTTCTTCGCTATTGTCCGAAAATGTTTTGTTGCTCTCTTTGTCGCGTCACTATGTTCTTTGCCTTAGAAATCTTTTTCAAAGCAACAATAAATGTGAAAAATAACTAACTATATGCGTTGGCTTTCTAATACGGACGATTGTTAAAGAGATGGTGATCGAAGGGGGAATGGACGTGGCACCTTTTCCGACCTTTTTGGAGGGGGCATGAACCGCAATTGACAAAAATGTTACTCCCGACCACCTAGGGCCCCTACGCACAGTGTATCATTTCCATATTCTAGAAAAGATTAATTACATTATTTTATGTCAACAAATTTCAAAACAATGTCAAGAATGTTTTTAGAAATGCCTGATAAAGACGAAACAATAAGAACTAAAAAATTTAAATCAAAGAGTATGGCGGGACGGGGTTTGATTTGGAAAATTACTGAGCGCAATAATATTTAAACTTGTATATTTAAAACTGAATCTCAATGTTTAATTTGTCGGTGTTATGTGATTTATGCTACAATTGCTAAAATATCATTTTGGTCTTATTTTTTTAGGTATGATCTTTTTAATGAATATACATTTTTGACAATTTAGTAAACTAGGACTGAGTATTTCATGTTAAAGTAAAACTATGTTGACTTAGACTTATTTTTAGCAAATTATTATTTTTATTAGACCCGAAAACTCGTTATCCGCCACTATTCGATAAAGTTTGTATCTCAGTTTATTTGCAACTGCTCTTAGACTTTAAACAACACAATTTTAGCTGCTGGAAAGTGCAGGTTTTGATGAAATTTTCTTTTTTCTGGCCTACTGGGAATTTCATTTTCTTCGAGTAATTCATTTGCATTTTATCTCGACCGAGACAAATTCTTGTATTTTTGCTTTGAATAGAGAAAGCCTGATTCATTACATTTCCAATGGTATCCCATTTTTGTAAATAGAGCAAGAAATATTGAACTTATAACGGAATTTTGTTGACCCAACTTGACTTTTATCTCGAAATTTTCCACGCCCATAATTAAAAAAAATATATTTATTTTTAAGTCCATTTCCTTGTTATAGGGAAATTCTAAATATAAATTTTGGGCATTTTAGCCTTTGTAGTCAGCTAAATATTTCAGTTTTTGTATTTTTAAAAATTGCAGTTATATAATAGGGTGGCGTAACAGTAACTATAAATTACCAATTTTTTGTAAAAAGCATCGCCATTCTTATAACGTACCTTGTGCAAAATTTCATTAATCTATCTTCAATAGTTTTCGAATTACAGAATTAAAAGTAGCTAGATGGGTCAAATCTTACACTGTGCGACGGGACCACTTAGAAAAATTTCCGTAGAATTCGGTTGTCAATGACCGCCCTTATAGGAAAGTTTCCGCAACTAAAAAACTAAAGACTACAAAAGAATTCCAGACTCTTCCTGAATGTATGACCATTTTTTTAATTTAAGCCTCATAATTAATGTAATATTTTTCTGATTTTTATACCCGAGAGCCCTGCCCCTAAGGCTATGCGTATACCTTTTCACTATCACCCTTAACTTTGCTTACTAAGTAGTGTTTGCCACAATATGAATGGCAAAGTACAGCGCGCAAAATAATATCTGTCGTACAGGTTTTTTGAAAAATAAAAGGGTCCTTTATAGATTTTGTGTTTTTTTTGTTAACTTTGTACATATTTTACTTTAATTTTATTAATTCGTTTTAAAATTTTAATCCTGATTTGCATTTGCCAGCCTTGGGAGATAAATACATGCGGCACGAACTTCTTTTTCAGGTGTATTTTTTCTTTGATTTTGTAAAAAAAAAGAAAAAAAACTGTATAGGGTTGGTCGAATGAATGGCCTCCTAGTCACCACTTTCGAGTCTTTTCGATTGCTGAGTATGAGGCCTTATGTTGGACAAAAGACGGAGTATAAAGCACCCAAATGGGGAAATTAGCCTATGGTTACAGAAGATATGTAATAAAGTAACCGACGAAAACTTGCGCTTTTTTCCCAAGTGTTTACCGCCGGTAAACTCAAATGAAGGTTAAAATTTAAAAACAAATTAATAAAATTGAAGTAAAATCTACTACAANATCGCCATTCTTATAACGTACCTTGTGCAAAATTTCATTAATCTATCTTCAATAGTTTTCGAATTACAGAATTAAAAGTAGCTAGATGGGTCAAATCTTACACTGTGTTACGGGACCACTTAGAAAAATTTCCGTAGAATTCGGTTGTCAATGACCGCCCTTATAGGAAAGTTTCCGCAACTAAAAAACTAAAGACTACAAAAGAATTCCAGACTCTTCCTGAATGTATGACCATTTTTTTAATTTAAGCCTCATAATTAATGTAATATTTTTCTGATTTTTATACCCGAGAGCCCTGCCCCTAAGGCTATGCGTATACCTTTTCACTATCACCCTTAACTTTGCTTACTAAGTAGTGTTTGCCACAATATGAATGGCAAAGTACAGCGCGCAAAATAATATCTGTCGTACAGGTTTTTTGAAAAATAAAAGGGTCCTTTATAGATTTTGTGTTTTTTTTGTTAACTTTGTACATATTTTACTTTAATTTTATTAATTCGTTTTAAAATTTTAATCCTGATTTGCATTTGCCAGCCTTGGGAGATAAATACATGCGGCACGAACTTCTTTTTCAGGTGTATTTTTTCTTTGATTTTGTAAAAAAAAAGAAAAAAAACTGTATAGGGTTGGTCGAATGAATGGCCTCCTAGTCACCACTTTCGAGTCTTTTCGATTGCTGAGTATGAGGCCTTATGTTGGACAAAAGACGGAGTATAAAGCACCCAAATGGGGAAATTAGCCTATGGTTACAGAAGATATGTAATAAAGTAACCGACGAAAACTTGCGCTTTTTTCCCAAGTGTTTACCGCCGGTAAACTCAAATGAAGGTTAAAATTTAAAAACAAATTAATAAAATTGAAGTAAAATCTACTACAAACTACTTTTTCGCAAAATCTATAAAGGCACCTTTTATTTTTCAAAAAAAAAAAAAAACTGCAACAGATATTATTTTACACCCTGTATATGATAAAATATTAATAGCTGGAAAAAGGAGTACAAAAGAAGTACAAAGCTAATAAAGGAGTACATTTCCAGATATTTTTTTTTGGGGTACACTGAGGGAAATAATGCACAGTAAAAATGAATACTTTATATTTGATTATCGTTTAAAAGTCTTCGTATTTAAAAATAATATTTTCATACAAAATTTATTAAGCACGTATTTCACTGTTCACATCTGAGTATGTTTATGTAAGTGTACATACCCT